AAGAGTGTGTGGAAACTGGTCGTGGAATATTATAATGCGCTATTCCAACATTTTCCTGAAGAATCTTAAAATGTCTGAATTAGCATAACGAAGATTCGATACTTAGACATAACAAATACAAATCAATACACACCGATATTCGACTTATCATGCTTAACCTTTCGAAGCATAGTGGTAAATATCTGAACCACCTACTTGACAATCTGAAAGTCTGTAGTTCTACATGATTCTCATTGTAATAAGCGATTCCTTTCTTAAACAGCGTCAACAAACCGATCTTTTAATGGTAAAATGTTGTGTTCCCTTCGTGGTACGGACTGAATTATTAAATAATAGCAGAATGCTCGTAGGGTTATTTCTTATCTCTCTCTCTCTCTCTCTCTCAGGGTTAATGCGGGGGGTCACCGTGGCGACCTGGGCGATCGTGGCAGTCTTGCTACTGTGTGATTTACCATTCTAATTAACTTAGCGTAATTATTAGGATATCTGAGTTACTTTCCGACAAGTATGGTTCAATTCCGGAAAATTACAAACATAGAAATGAGCGTTCTCCCCATGCAATATGAACATGAGCTATATGACACAAATAAGTATGGAAAGATAATTAGGAATTTGTAGTATATGAACTTTAAGAGCCTTAACCTATATTAGCCTGAATGTGTTATTTGTGAACACTATCTTGCCATGTAAGTCACAGTAGATAAGCTTCTTCTCGTAGGGCTTGTACCTAATATGACTTTATTGCAGATCCTTATAACGAAATAATTTATAAAGGTTATTTTCTTACAAAAACTACTATATTACTAACCTTAACATATTTAAACACACGGAAAAAAAAACACTGAGCTGAAAAATATATTACGTAGTAATGTGGGACAGATGAATGAAGATGGAGCTCATAAATTACTCCATATTCGTGCATTGCACATACGAAGTTCAACACACGTGCACATACACAACACAAAAGAGACTGCCCAAACGCGTATATAAATCATGCCCCATGTGTTAGCTCTAACTGGGGCTTTTCTGCCGCTCAGAAAACCGATACAAAAGTCTAGAGAAAAACCAACACAGACCATCTACTTTCCTTGTCGGAAGAAATGTTGTAGGCGAATCCGATGAAAAATTCTCTGGAAAACAGCGCAGTTGTTTTGCGAGCTGAAAAACCTGTCCAATTACGGAATTAAATATAAGTTAATTTTGTGCATATCCCTCCTTTTATAGTTTTATTTTAATTTAATTTCGCATTCACAGAAAGTTCTTGTTTTACATTTCACGACTCTTAAAACGCTATGAAGAGGTAAAACCCACACAGGATAAAATGCGTAACGATGGAGGCATTCTTTACGATCGCCAGAAGTTTCCACTGTTTGGTTGCATATGAATTAGACCCTTATTCTTAAACAATGTGATGCAATGTTGTCTATTTTTCGTGACTATTCCTTTATAGGTCTATATGGCCTACAAACACTAGCTGAAGTGTAGGCCCTTCGTTCGTTCTTGTAAATAATAACTGCTCTGAAATAAGGAAATTACTCTCTTCTTATAAGACATGTTTATAAACTTCTTTTTAATGCGTATTAATATGTTTACACTAGATAAATCTTCTACACCCACCTTTAACAAACTTCGAAAACACTATTGCCTACCTAATAAAGGGACACCTTAGCCTCTTAAGTGACCAATAAAACGTGAAAGGCGATGTTCTGCAATAAACAAAACGAGTTATCCTTTCTCGTCGTTAAATTGAGGTTTTAAAACTAAGATATTGGTAATAACGAATTCCATAAGTAATAGTCTTCACCAAATATTATCAGGATGATGAAATCAAGGATTCGCGAGGCATGTATCGCGATTGGGGGAAACGAGAAACGTGTACGAAATGATGACCGGAAATCCTAATGTAAGAGACCACTCGAAATAATTAGGCGTAGGCAGAGGATGAAGTCAAAATGAATCTCAGAAAAACAGTTTAGGAAACTTGTGGTCTGGATTCATCTCTCAGAATACGGTCACCGGCGGGCTCTTGTGAACACGGTAATTAACCTTCGAGATTCACTAAAGACGGGCAATTTATCGACTAGGTGAGCGCACTACTGTCTTCTCATGAATGATTCTTCTACGTGAAGTTACTTATTTTTTTAAAATAGTTGCCACCTTTCGTAACTACAGTAAAAAGTTTACTCACAAGTCTTATAAATACCAAGTACGCCAAAATAGCTTTACGAATTAAATCGTATACGGTTGCCTAGCGACGAAAGTGGGTCGGCATTAGTTGAATTCTGTAAATGGTCTCATAGCGACCTTCAAGAACGACAGAAGGAAGGACAGGGAGGAAACAAAAGAATTTCATGATATAGTATTTTACGCTGACTTCAGTATTTTACATGAATTACTTTAAGGTCAAAACAGAGAAAGGTCTAAAGCAAGTTAGTGTGGAAAACTTAAAGGCATGATACTACAGGCCGTAATTAAGATAAATAGAACCACTTACCCGTGATAAACCAGAAAGGAAAGTAGGAAGAAGACGCAGGCTAAAACGTCAGCTCTCCCAACTATACCAGTCACCTGAAAAATGGAAATATATGAAGATTTAGTGGACTGAGTTTGTAACACGAAGAGTGTTATAACTCAGCTGTTGCTAGGGAGCAGAGAATGTAAGTCATTACACATAAAATGTGGTCTCCTGACCACTGAGGTTACGAAAACAGAAAAGATGGGCATCTGAAACGCCAAACGCACATACTAACACTGCAATATAAAGTATAATATACAAACACTCTTTTTTACTTACAAGAAGTCTAGATTAGAAATATAAAACTTTCGTTCATATATAAATATATATTTGGTTTACGTATTATTAAGTAAAACTAGAATATAGTTATGAATTTAAAGTTTAAATTAAATAATATTACTGCAGTTTTTAAGACATTTTCATTGCTACGACGTAAGATTAATGTTTTTTTTTAAAATTGTTTCCTTCTATTTTATTATTTCGATCTTATTCACAAGAAAGTTAATGTGTTTGTTTTGTCCATTTCTGTAAAGAGTGAGTAAGTTTTTCTTTCTTATGCGTATTGAAGCAGGTTTGTTGTTCCATTGATCAAAAACAGCGCTTCTGATAATCAATAATTTTGCCCTTACTATTTCAAGAGAAAGAACTTACTATTTTCCCCGTGCAATGCTTCTATGGTTATTACACCTCTGTGCGTTACTGATTTATTACATAATTCTATGCAGTCAATTTATGTTGCAAAAGTATCGGATTTTCCAAAATTATAAAATAACGTGTGTTTTTTAGGAACAATATTTGGGGAATGCGGAATTATATAGCAAGCAAATGCAACATAAAAAACAGACTTCGCAGTGAGAACTGGCGAATCCGTACGTCTTGAAAATATGACAGAGGGAGACCCATTCATCATTGGCATAGACATTGTCTCGTATGTCTATTATGTCTGATAATTGGAGTCAAATTACGCTTTAAAACATAATCAGATCATTAGTAAATTTTCTTAATTGGTGAAAATGGGCTGAGTTTCAACCCAGTTAACAGTTTCACATTGAAAGAAGAAACATCACAATTAGTAACAAGTAAGGAAAGGTAGGTGTAAAGAATGCCAGCAGGATAGAGAAAACAGAACGCGTGTACTATACAAAGAACGTTTTGTTTTATGGTTAAATATGGTGTCGCCATGTATAAATGCTGTGCCAACATCAGCAGGGCTCAGTATTTACAGTGCATTTCTTAAACACGTTCTGAAAGCTTCTTTCTTACAAATTCCGACCATTTTAAGATGTCTCAGGTTTTCAATACTGCCGAGCTGTTTCTATATTTTCTTTCAACTCTTTTGTTTCTTTCTCCCACCCCCTCCCTCCAGCCTCTGGACCATCCATCTACTTCACCCCCACACCCAAGAGTTTCTGCTTCTCGTCGTCTTCCCTCAATTTCGTTTCCATTTCCTACCTCTTTTTGCGAGATTTGTGAATCCTGTTTACTTCATTCTGAATGTATACCCTCCTCTCACAACCCTCCCTCACATCAGGAAGATTTCTCCTAAAGGCACGCAACGATCTACACCATAATTACCACTTACAATCTCAAACTACTTTCACCTGTACGGTTAACAATATACACGAGCGTTTTTTTTACCAAAATACCATTCACACTCAATCAAAGAGCTTTAATAATATTTTCGCAGAACAAATTAAGCGTTACAACATTTCATAATTCTGTGAATTAAGAAAAGGAAGTGTTTATCAAATGAAGCATATGTATGATTTGAGGTTTTCACAGCGGTGAGTCTGAAGATTTCTGTCTTCTGGGTTGTTGCGCTGTGTGGTCTGGTCGATGTTAACCAACGTTTCAGAGGTCATACTGCCTCCGTCATCAGAGTATGAAGATTTCTGTCTTCTGGGTTGTTGCGCCGTGTAGTCTGGTCGATGTTAACCAACATTTCAGAGGTCATACTGCCTCCGTCATCAGGGCGATAAACCCAGAAGACAGAAATCTTCTTTTATTATGTTGTTTTCTTCATTCACTTGATACTTCCTCACTCATTGTTCTGTTCACTTCCTTTGTTGTTTTAAATGGTTCGGATGTCACATTCCTTTACACTAAGTTTCACGCCAATAAAAGAAAACATCTTTACAATTAGGACATTTATCGGCTGTGCCGCTAAGACTAAGAAACGAGGAAACCGAAGCAACAAACGCGTACAGTGGAAAGGCCGTGGTGTGTCAGCATAAACACGAAATATCCTCATTACATTAATATTAGAAGACTAGATTTAACAATTCATTATAAAACACGTACCTTATTCTGGGACTTTCGATATCGATTCCGTAACCGAAGATATACTGTTTAATTATTCCATAAAAGTCACGATATATTTACTTTAAACAGGCCAGGATATTATCTTTTTAAGCCCTTTCAATCTTTTACGTTCAGAATCATCTTCAAACCGATGCTATATAACGTATACAGTTCAAAATAGTCTTCGAGAAAACTAAGAAACAAACAGCATCTACAGCTACATTTTTGGGTGCTACGCTTTGCAGTCGGGTTAGATACTAGCCGACGTTTCAGAGTAGTTTATTGTTCTCAACTCTCTGGATTTCAGAGAGGCAATGGGAGGACTGCAGAAAGCTGTAAACTTCGCTTCAGTTTCTGTTGGAATTTGGTCTCTGACACTGCGTAGGACACGAAAGACAAACGAAATGTGCGGTGTTCTCAGCTTGAAACAGTCGCCAAAACGTAAGCAAATAACGCACCGACAGAACGGAAAAGAGAAAGAAGTTGGCGTGGCACCATATTGCCTCATAATTCTCCCTGCTCCAATCTTACAAGAGAAGGAGGGAAACATTTTCGAGTCTTTTTTACTGCCCTGTCTTACTGTGTTGTATGTAGCCCTCTCTTGGTCTTTTACGACCCATCATACATTTAAAATATGGAACCAACAGTACAAGGACACTTTCTTTATATATTTGCATGTCTTTCGGTTAATATTTACATTCTAACTGGAGAAGAATTTTAATGTAGAATAAAAAATATGACAAACAGAGAACATTTAAGAATTATTATACTAAACTCAGAAATAAGAATATAACAAAAACAGATTAATTATACGGGTTGAGAAACAGCCATATATTAAAATATAATTAGAGAGAGATGTTTTACGTCTCACTCTTACGCTTTTTTCAGATATTAAGCAAAGATGTGAATTACCATATTGAATAATGTTTAATTTATAATACGTGTTAATCGAACTTACACGTATAGCTACAAGCATTTCACTAAATAATATATACGCAATTTCGGATCTGCCTAATCGATTAGTCAGTTTCCTCCAGTTTCACTCGCGTCTCCTTTCACACTTTTCCCCTCCTATGGCTATGTTCGTGGATTAACCAGCTTGGAATCTGCTGGCTGCAATAAATTTACCGAGGAAATCAATTGAACGTTTCGTAGGAGAAATATCCTTACTCCGTCAGGATGGAATTTATCCCCCCTTAACCTTCTCCCCCACGCTACTGTTGATATATCTCTCGTTGTTCTTGCTTGCTGCTGATGTCACTGTAGCCTTTTGTCGCCCACCATGCTCGGAACTTGAAGAACTTTCGCGTGTGTCTCGACACGTCTCTACCTCCTGCCTGATACATTCCACCTGCGTACTTCTTCCTCCCTCACAACAAGCTTCTACTTATTTAGGTTAGGTCTTCCTTGTTCCATTCTTTCTTTATCTATGTTTCTTTCGTCTTTCTGCTGATGTCGTTACATATAATCTAAATAATATTTAAATATCCAGTTTTTACCGCAGGGAAAAGACAAAGTATCTGAATTACAATGACAAATTTGTAAATGCTATTTTGAGAGGAATGTTTGTTTATTTTGAGAATCGTACGAGGTGCGATCGGAAAGTTTCTAGACTGCGCCTATAACAACCCGTACACTTATCTCAGGTATTAAATTCATCCATC